GAACTCTTCCATGGATTGCGTTGTCGATGCGTCGGATGGTGGTTGTTCGGGTGGTGATGAGAACCGCTGCGGTTGGCGAGGGTTCATGTTGGGGACGAAGTCTTGTGGTCTTGAGGACGTGTCTTGTGTCGGCGACGATAGGATGGCTTGAGTCTCGAAATTAGAAATCTTTTGTCGGGTGGCACGCGGTGTGGGTGTATTTGAGGGAAGATCATCGCCAGATACCGAGTCTTGTTCTCGTGGCGGTGAGAGTGGGTGTAGCTCATCAATGTCAGGGAAATCATCTGACTCTATGCTTCTCACCTCTTCTTCTTTTAGATCTTCGTCGATGTTCACGATGGTAGCATCTTCATCCAGTGCATCGGGTTCTTGAGACCGGATTTGCTCTTGCATCAACTCCTCGGCATCTTCTGACGTCGAATTAGTCTGGGAACTCGCAGCGGAAGATATCTCCACGGGCTGGTTCTGCGTGCCCTCGGCTTTGATCGGTTGCATTGGCTCTTCCTGGGTAGGCGTCGCGCTTCCGCTCTTCCGACGTTTGGTGGGAGGAGCTAGTTCTTCCCCATCTTCCTGCTTCACAAAGTTGTCTTCCCGTAATCGCTTAGTGTACCTGGCAAGCTGTTCATCATAGAAGTTCGGAGATTCTTGGCGAGCGGTGGATGATGACGGCATCTTAGGCTCTGATGCGATCTTCGGTGGGTTTCGGTTTTGCAGTAATTCCTCAGAGTACGCTCCCTCAGAGGCTGGCGGCTGTACCGGCTCCACTTCATCTCGTGTTGTTGGAGGAGGATATGGCACTGTTTCGTCTGGTTTGTCGATCTCTGCTAGATGCTGACTGAGCGCCTGACTCCGCCTTGCCTTTTCGGCATCGTGCTTTTGTTCCATCTTCTTTCTGATCTTGTCCCTTTTTGATACCGGATCGCGCAACCACTGTGGACGGACTACCTTCTCGTAATACTGCCGCCACTGCTCGGCAGTTTGGTTCCCCTGATTCTCAGCCCACCCATCCCAAGCTGAGATCCAGTCGTCTTGTCCTTCCACGCCATCGATGATCGCTACAAAAGCATAGCACTCCAGCCAGTCGTCTGTGCTGAACATAACTTCTAACTCTTCCACACTATAGTCGCGGTTTGCTTTTGCTTTGCCCTTGTTATCGAGATTGGTCGCACTCGGAGCCTGTTCTGTTTTAGGTGTTTGCTGTTCTGTAGGCTTGGAGGGGGCTGGAACTGGGGGCATACGTTCGTTGGACTGATCGGAAGGAGGAGACGGAGGAGCGTTGTCAGGTATCGTGAAAGCCGAGAGCGGACGTTTGCTAAGTGTCTTGACCCATCGGTCGCGCCATGACTGCCATGTATGCCGCGGGTACTGTCGTTCGTTAGCGACCACTACCACGCGCGTTTTCTTTGTTGGCGCATACTTTGGCTTCGAGCTGCTTGTATAGCTCGTTCCCGCTGATGGAAGCGCCTTTCGATTGAGCGTCGCGCACCCATTTGGAGAGTATCCTATCTTCCTCTGCTGTGTACGATGTCCTTCCGCTCTTCGTTGGTTGGTGGATGGAACCAGCCTCTCGCGCCTCACCTAGCGGCGGTCCGGCTGTGTAGTCCTCGGGATCTTGGAGTTCTCCCTCCTTGATGGACTTTTCTATGAATTCGTACGATGTTGATCCGGGAGGACAGTCTCTCCGAGCGTGGTCGACGATGAGGTAGTCTGCCTTCTTCTCCAACGCAACGATCTCTCCGCCGTTGGCTTTGATATCGTCCAGCAGCCGTTTGCGTGACGCTACGCGCTGCGCAACCCAGAACTTCTTGCCAGCGAATAATTGACCGCCTGATGCGAAATCGAAGTCCTCAGCGACGTCGGTGTATACGGTCGGCCCAGCCATGGTGGGGTGGTATTGTCGGATTATGGTGGTGATGAATGACGCGTTGGCTCAGGCGCGACGCGTGCTCACATGGGATGCATGATTCACGCGGGGTCGCTTAGCCTCCGCGGCTGCTCAGCCCTATCCGACGCTTGCGCTGTCACCTCTGTGAACTGACAGACAGAGCGCGACGTGATGCCATAGAGCTTCGATCCGCGTCTTCATTCTGTTCCGCCATGCCTAGTGTCGCAGTCTGCAGGTCTCTTTCACCATGACCGTCGCCCGCACCATCATCATCTTCACCATCACAGTGTCGCTGGTGACTTTTGTAGCTTTCTTCGGACGACTCCCGGCTTTTAGGTATCTACGCTCCTCGTCCTCGCATCATTCATTCTAACGTTCCCAGAAACACGCCTATAGGCTTCCTCAACCGCCTCTTCCTCATCCACATCCCTTCCGCATTCCGAAAGCTCGATCTTGCGCTCACCAATGGCCGCATCACCAATGGCGGCTCCCGCCTGGGCAACTACCTCATGCACGACAAGCACCCGCTGGTCGTCATCTTCTTCCTCGGCCTCGTAACCGCATGCGCGACGCTGTTCCTGCCCACCGTTTGGCACCTCATCCGACCGCATCACAAGCTCCTAGCCTTCGTTCTGCTGCCGCAGCCGTACATCTTCCTATATCTCAGTGCGAAAAGCAACAGCCAGACATACATCACCACGCTCAATCATGCCGAGCAGATGCGACACTACCCATATGATCGGGTGCTGTATTATCCGGGCACGCCGTGCCGGACGTGCAAGTTCTTGAAGCCGGCGCGGAGCAAGCATTGCAGCATATGCAAGACATGCGTGTCGAGGATGGACCATCATTGCATATGGGTTAACAATTGCCTAGGACGGGGCAACTACAAGTGGTTCCTAGCCCTGTTGCTATCCACGGGCATACTGATAGCTTACGGCGCATACCTGGCTTACTACAGCCTTTCACCGTTGGTCCACAGACACTACTTGAAGTACGAAGGATGGTATAGATACAGCCCTAAGCAAGGCGTAAACACGAAGAGCTGGTTCGGGTACTTTGACCGGAAGACTCACTACTTCCTTATCTACGCGACCATCTACCTCGACATGGGCGGTGTGCGAGGGTCCGGAGTCGGACTGCTGGCTCTCCTCACATGGCCGCTTCCGTTGGGTCTGCTCGCATACCACATCTACTTGATCTGGGCTGGCATGACCACAAACGAGAGTGCCAAGTGGGCAGACTGGCGAGATGACATGGCCGATGGCGTCGTTTTCCTGGGCCATAGGCGGGAGGATACCATGCAAGAATATCGATCAGCAGCACCTGCACGGGAACACACACATGCCTCCGCGCATTCTTCTTCGTCAACGTCACCCTTCCCGACTCCTCCGGAAACCCCGCCAGAAGACGAAGAGCCGCCAACAACATGGCCGCTGGAAAGCAGACACATTCTCATCCGCACGCGAAATGGTCAACCGCCTAAAACACTTCCGAGCCGCATACAGTCAGTAGCTAGAGAAGATAGCTTCGAGCGCGTGTGGAATCTGGCGGCGGTGGAAAATGTGTATGATCTGGGCTTCTGGGATAACATTGTTGAGGTGTTGTCGAACTGATGTATATTTCAAGTCAAATTTTTTTACCACAATGATAAACATTTTCATGGATTCCAGCATGGCCCATTTTTGAACTTTTGTCCTTGGGTCTATAAATTGCTCCTCGAACCTGCCACAACCCATCTTCATTCCCACCTTCACAAAAACAGCGTTCGAAATGACATTCACGTTCGACCCATGACCTTCTCTTTTAAAATCTAAATGCTGAAACACATCGCGCATGTTCTTGCGGCATTCTGAGCGCTGGCTTTAGACAGTTTTGAGGAAATGTTTCGCATTTTCGATGTCTCAACGGCGACAGAAGGATACTTCGACGTACTCGCAGCTACGCGGTGGATCAACATCTCGCACATGAATAGTCTTTGGACTTTTCCGGGCTTCCTTGCCTGATTTGCGCACATCTGCTATCTCTCATAGCCATCACGTCACATTTCAAAATTGGCTGGAGGATTGCACATGTTCTTGTCTTCCGTCTCGAGCCCAAAAGACTGCCGGGCGTCGGAGCTCTGACGCGAGTATAAATATCTACTTCGCCGCTGCCTTCAAGCTCTGTACTTCCACCACAACTTCAATGTTCGTGTTTCCAAAAGACTACAAAAGTATTTCCATGTGCGCGAGTCTGGCTTGCGCTTTCGATGTCTTCAAAATACAGGAACTCCCATACATGTCTCGAGACTCCAAAAGAGCTTCCTGAAAAGATGATGTTTGCGGAACTACCAAAACAAAAACCTACAGGGTCCATGTGTGTCGTCGTGCAACAGTATCAAAACGTAGCCGATGAGTTGCCATGTCGGTTTAGAGAAGAGGTGTATAAAGACCGTTCATTCCGCCTTCCTGGACCACCCGTCACTCTTTCTCCAACACCAAAAACTACATTCTCAAGTATCAACGAAATGCTTTCATGTGTGAAAGTTTTGCTTCCTCTTTCAGAAAACCCAAAACGGACGAGCTAAAGTACTATGTTCTGAGAAGTTGAGGACAGTCGCAAAAAGACCCGGTGTATATCACGCATTATCCAAAACGAAAAGCTAAAGTGTTTGGTGTGATGAGTGTGCTGTGGTCTCACAACCAGAAGAACCAACTATGACAGAAATGCGTGCTCGGAAAATAGCATGAGTGGTGTACGAAAGAGATGCGATGATCTACCTCACAAATTCCAGCCATGCAAGGGTATAAATACCTTTTGGATGTGCGCATCTTGTCTCTTCAACTACACCTCGAATCACAATATCAAATCGAATTCGATACATGGGTATGTTTTTTGCGCTGCGATTTGCAGCTGGTGCGTATCTAAAAGAGTTCTTGGAGAACTGTATGCGATCAAAGTATGACGGGACCAAGTCATGTACTGCTTCTCGGTTATTGACACCTGCGACGAGTTGGTTTTGAGCTTGCCATGAAGTGGAACTAAGGGAGGAACTCAGTTCCATTTGAGAAGCCATGAGAGTAGATATTGATGACTAAAAAGCAGGGACTAAGTACTTTCGCGCTACCCAGATTTAAGTCGCGGTCTTCGCTGGTGTGCTTGGAAACTTGTCCTCGCGATTCCCATGTCTGAAAGCCCATGTCGATTCGTCCATACCGTTATGCGCAGCAGTCATGTATTTGCGGAAAGCCGAAGACATCTGCACGACTTGTCTGAGGCGGCCCTCAGTCACCTTGGGTGGCTTTCCACTCTTGTCCTTCTTGGCTTCAAAGACCGCTAGGGCGACGGCGGTTTGGAAGGCTACGGTACGACTCGTCAGTCACACGTTTCAGTATACGCATCAAGCGACTCACCATTTCGAATTTCGCGTCCGTTCCACTCTAGCTCCTGTACCTCTCTGCTCTTGACATAGCTCTTTGCGTCGTATTCGTAGAGTATTTCTCGTCCGCCACGCTCGTGATCATCGCGGAGCTTCCTGAACATATTGTCCCATATCTTGCCACGCGAGTCGTTCGTTAGCTTGTCATACCCAAGTGAGAGATGGATGCGCGACATAAAGGCCTCGTCGAATTGACCAACGCGATTCGTCGTCAAGAAAAATATGCCTTCGAAATAATCGAGAGCTCTGAGAAATACTGGAATGACAATTAGCGACCGTCAGCAGACGCAGAGGTGAAAAGCTTGCCTGATACGATGCTGTTCCGTCTCAGGTCATGTATCGTTCGCTGCTCGAGATACACGTCTGCTTCGTCCAGTAGCACTATAGCGCCCCAGTCACTAGCATCTTTGAAGAAGCGGAGAAGACTCCTTTCCAACGCTTCAGGCTCATGGCCCAAGTCAGCTGCAGTGATGCTAAGGAGCGGTCGTCGCGTATACTCTGCAACGGTTTCTGGGATACGTTAGTCGTTGTAAACCGACAACACGATACGGTAACACACCAGCTGTGAGCGTTTTGCCAGTTCCAGGAGGCCCGTGCAACAGTATGATCTGCCCCTCGCCTTTTCCACGTATGAAGTCCCCACTGAACCGATCGGGGTCGCTATCTGTATAGACCTGGGCCATGGCCTTGATCAACTCTTTGTTGTTGTGATCTATGACCAGTCTGTCGATCGCTGTTTCGACCAGCTCAGGCTCTTCCAAGCCTTCGACAGCTAGCAAGTCTAGTGTACAGTAAGCAACTTTAGGGCGACAAAGATGGCGAACATACCATAAGTGCGCTCTTTCAGCATGAAGGCATAAACATGCGATGCCATAAGCATGTATTGATGGTCAGAGATCAGATCAGGGCTCTTTGGCTGAATCATATAATAATCGCTGAATCGTTCCTTGTCGTGAGTCTCTTGCGATGTCTTCAACTCTTCACATTGGTGGCATTCGCAGCTTGCCACGCGAATAGATGCTTTTATGTAGGTTGTGAAATTCATCGGTCTATGGTGGGCATCGCTCAAGTCGCAAGAAATCCAGGGCGTCTTCTCGTGTGCAACAACAACACGTGCTCGTTTGTACTGCATACAGTCAGTTGTTTATATCGTAGGCGTTATGATGTAGCTACCTCTACACCCTTTGCTAAGCCCCGGCCAGAGTACTGCAAGAAGCTTGGTTGGCTCGTGTATTTGAGATACCTCTTGCCTCGTTCTGTCAACTCCTGCTTGAGTTTACCGTCGTCGAAGTTGTCGTTGTACTCAACGGGAAATACGGGCAGACTTTTCACCTCCCTCTCGTTGTCGAAAACTGGAACACGTACATGTCGAACCTCGGGAAATGCGTGTGTTCCATCACACGCCAGGTTCCATACGGATACTTCGTAGTCGCGATTGATCGCTTTTCCATCGACCTGAGTGACGCCTCCGCTGACTGCATGCACGATATACGCGTTCATAAGTCCATCTTCTTCACGCACATACACATCAGTACCCGGTTTTAGGAGTAACCAACATGATGCGAAAGTGGTGACTGACACCTTTTCGCGGCGGGCAGAGGCATATTTCTCGAAGGGTATATCTCGCTGCAAGCTCAGATAGTCAAGAATTAAGTCAATGTGACAGTCTGCCCTCTCGTTGAAAGCTGCGGGGTGCTGAGCACGTAAGTAGCTCTCACCAGCCCGGTATCTTATCAGATCGTCCATGTGATGGTAAAGATCCTTGAATGGGTAGTTGAACTCGCCCATACCTACACCGAACTCCTCTCCATGAGGAGATTCTGACGCGTATTCGATGACCGACTTGAGTATGTTCAGTAGATATGACGAATTGATCTTCAGGCTAATCTCTTTCACTTGATCGAGAGGCCCCAGCTTAGCTCTCGCTTGCGCATCGGCGTCCTTCTCATTTGCCCGGTAACGTGGGGTCTGGATGGTCCTCAATTCTTCCAGTGCGGGCATCGCTGTATCACCATGGATAGTATCTACCTCCATTGGGGCGTCATATGCACGCTCGTCAACGAAACATCCATTCCTGTCTTTTGGACTGACTTCCAAATAGGTGACGGTATACCGCAATTGATCTCGGTAATCCAGTGGAGGCTGTTTTGGGACGAGAGAGGAGTGCACCGAGAATACGACCTGCATTCCGTGTTGGACAACCGAGTCCCACGTTTCAGAGGAGATCAAGCCATGGTCTAGCTTCAGAATATTGATGTTGTTCCAGTTTATGTCGTTCAGTGCATCGTGGTCGTTGCGGTAATACGTCTTTAGTAACACTAAGACCACCTGGTATACTGAGTCAGGCGTGCAACACGAAATTTATAGAAAATGCGATCTTCATACCTCCCATGAGTAACACGCTATCCAAGGAATGACATAGACGGCCGAATCCCCAAATCTTGCGCTGATATGCCGAGGTACACCCGTCGACAAGTCGAAGCACGGTTCATTCTTCGTCCCAGCTTCGGTGGCAGCCTGGATAGCTCTGTTGACATGATCCATCGGAGCTTCAAATGTGATATCGTCATCGGATTCTTGTTCGTTGGTGTCGTGATCCTCTTCGCCTAGATCCTCGGTTACTTCTTCGGCTTCCTCGTCCTGATAGTTCGCATTTCCAGCACTGTTGTTTTCGGAGCAGGCTTCCATGACTTCTTCGGACTGGCTGTTGCATTGTTGGATATCGTCAGTAGTATCACCGCTGCGGAGTTTCGGTCGGTCGTGCTTCGGGGTTTTGGAATGGTTGTCAGCAGTAGACTCGTATCCACCGACTGCGACGAGAACAGATTCCGGGCTAGACTTTCTTGGTGGCTCAGCACAGGCGTTGGAAGGAAGCGAGCTGGGCTTGGCCGTTGCCATGATGGACAAGAGGAGAAGCGTGGTGTCGTGAATGATCCAAATCTAATGAATTCGTGGTCGCAGTTGAGCCAAGGTTGGCCCATCAGGAACCTGCCGCCGCTTGGGCTTTTCCGAGTAGTTTTCGTAACCGGTCAGCCTAAATTAGATAGGCATGCGTAGTTATACGGGAGAATGCATGACGCGGGCAGTGGACGAGGACAAAGAAACGGATGCTACATGAGGCCCCGTCAACCTAACTCAGATCAGCGCTTGTATCACGATAATATCAAACTGTACCTCTTGTTCAACAATGAAGCCACGTACGTCGTGACCAGTGTATAGGTATCGAGAGTGTTACTGCTTCTCAGCTGTGAAGCCACGCGGGCCATTGCAGGTTTTGTGACCCTTTGTTGAGGTTGCAAGGGTGCAAGTGAGGCGCAGGGTTTCAGCAAGCCTTTGGATCTTCTGCCTGCATCATAACTAGCTGACCTGATCTCCGTAGGTTCGTAGTCAAATACCAAAGTCAGCAGATGGCGTCGGATACTGTTTCTCATCGGATCGAAGCTGAGAATCTTGAAGGACAAACGCTGGTGCGGCGATTTACAAACAAGCTGCGAGGGGAGTCGACCCTCGAGCTTGCGACCATTAGCGTACAGCATGCGCAGGACGCTGCAGAGAAGCAGATGTTCGAGGCTCAGGTACGGGCGCTATACAAAGACGACGAGAAAGAGTAAGCTTGTCTTCTTTTCGTGTATCTGCTGGTACTGATAGAGTTAGCGATTTTGCCTTCCATACTATCGAAACGGAGAGACTTGCACTTCTTGAGACCTGCAAATTGTTCGAGATCCCAGAACCACCGTCGCGATTAGCAAAACTCGGATTGAAACGCAAAGCGGCTCGGACGAGAGCCAATGAGGCAATCCAGGGAATGGCCACCCATGGATTCGATGACTTGTGCAACTACGTTCGTGATCTTGAAAGCACATGGAGGAGCAAAGAAGGATTGGTACGATAGCCAGATAAACTGCGCAGTAATGCTCACCTTACTAATTATACCAACAAGTTCGCTCGTCGATTTCGTGGCCTCTGCCGAGGACTGGAAGCGCACAAGAACGTGTTCACAATCTTCCCATCGCACAACAGCTACGCCTCTGTGCTTTCTGGTAGCCTTATGCTCATCATTGAGGCTGCTGTCAACCACGACGAGATTGCCGACTGCCTTTCAGAGTATGTCATTCACATAACCGAGATAGCAGTTCATACAGCAGATCTTGTGCTGTTGGTGCGGACACGCCGGATGCGCGAACTGTATTCCAGACTTTACGCGCAAGTCTTCCTCTTCTATCGCGAGGCTATGCAATGGTATATGGAGTCGCAGCCGGCCCGCTTTTTTAAAAGTTTCAACAGCAAGATAAAGCAAGGATACGAACAAGCGATAGCAAAAATCGAGAGGGAAGTGACGATGATGTATAGGGTAGCGCAGACTGCGGAACTGGCCAACTCGTTGGTGATGAGTGCGGAGCAGAAGCGAAGCGGTGAACGCTTGCTTCTTCAGCTACAGCAAAACTCGGAGCTCTCTGACTTGTATGACATAGGACGGAACTCACATGACTTGCTTTTAAGTGGGCACAAGAGATCTTGTATCGAATTCGGGGCTGAAGGAAATGATCATAAAAAGGAGGAGCTCGCACATACTGATGATTCCAGGGCGGCAGGGCAAGCCGCGCTGGATGACAGCTTGGTAAATCGAACAGAATCGAGGTACCTCGTTCCTGGTCTAGAGGACTTCTGTGTAGGGACCGAAGGTCGTTCGCTTTGTGTCGATAACAAATGCTGGGTATCTGAGGTCCAAAGAACGTGCAAACACCAGGCTTGGGAGGATGCAGAAGCCGGGTCCTCTACACTCTGGGTGTCAGACCCAGAAGTGTCGCATAGTGGCATATCCTGCTCTCGCGCGTTCGCGATGAACATATTAGCTGCAGCGTGGGAAGCGGGATTACCAACAGTTTCGCATTTCTGCGAGAGACCTCGGACTGCGACACATGTAGCGGACCGAGAATTGGAGAAAGTCGGTCTGATCGGGCTGATGTACAGCTTGATATCTCAGCTGTTGCAATTTCAATTCGACGAAGACACTTTCGAAGCGTCTCAGGACGCGCTACGTAGATTGGACGGTTCGGATAAAAGCTGGCCGACAGCTCTTGAGTTGTTCTCAGCACTTTTGGCAGCGACTCCACACCTCAGCATATGTGCCATTGACAGCCTCAACGACCTCGCGTTTGGAGCAGGTGCGCAGTGGTGCGATGCTTTCCTAGGAGTGCTGTTCGAGCACCAGAAGTCATCAGCGGGCATCTTCAGAATTCTGCTTACTACTACTGGGCAATCGCGGGTGCTGCAGGATCATGTGAAGGTTTCAGATCGAGTGTTCACCCAGACAGAAGCGCGAGAAGTGATCCGAGGTGGGCGTTGGTACACAAGTTTAGAAAAGTGAGGTGGTTGGACGCGTGTTGTTCGCGTTGGAAGGTTCACTGGCGCGAACTCGTGCCTCGGCGATGGAGGCTTGGCAGCCATGGGAACATGAGGTCATCCACATTATTCAGATTTCAGTCATGCGCTGTATTTCTACATCCATCGTGGGTGGTTACTTTTTACTTTCGATGTGTTCGTCTGACCATCTATGCGCTTGCTTCTAGCCCTCCATTTTCTACACATATGGCAAACGTGCCTACAACGAGTCCGAGCCAAAGGCGCGTTCTCCTATAATTGGTAGGCGTGTCATCCCTAGGTACATGTAGCCTACAAAGCGCTTCCTCGGTCTTCCTCATTAGGTTCGTGGTTCATCATCTCGGGCATCTACATGTGTCCTTCTAATCCTTACTCCAGTATTCAGGTCCAGGTAAAATACACGCCTGGTCAGACAGAAACCCATTAGTCAAAGTCGATAAGGTCCCCGATATCGTCGAATGGCCGGAGATCTTCCATCTTGGTCGGTGCAGCCAGCCTAGCTTTGTTCTTCACTTTGTCATTCGATGGGGCCACCCAGCCAGCGACCTTAAGATCCATCCCGTGCATCGAAGCGGGCATTATACATCCCCTAACCTTATTGCCTGCTACAGCGCATTTTTCGCTCTGGCAGACGTGTCCGTGGAAACAATTTGAAGATCTGCAAAGGCCACCCTTTTTGCATGGGTGGCGAATCACTTGGTACTGCAGCGCCCTGTATGCTTCGGGTTCCAACACGCCGTGGTAGTATCGACATTTTGCGATGGTGCAAGAGTTGCCTAGATGGTGTTGGTTGCACAGCTTATCCCGTTTGTAGTGCGCCTTGTAGATATCGATCTCCGCTGCAGGTGGCTTTGGCACATAAATGTCGATGCGCTGCTCTGCCGCATTCACGGGTAGGTGGCCGTCAATGTAGCAGGATGGCAACTTGCCTTCGTATAACGTAGCCCCCACAGTCTCGAGATCTCCACTGACATCGATGAGACTGGTGGAAGTACTTGTGTTGCTCGTGGAACGTGCTTTCTGAGACATGGTTAGTGTAAACTTATGGCATAATGAAGAACTGAACGCACTGCAGCGGTATCAGCCATGGGAGACTCTGTCGTAGTGTCAATCTGCGTTGTACCTCCAGCCTGGACCTGACCAATCAATGGTATAGAGAACACATTGCCGAATGTCACAACAGGAAACCCCAGCTCACTTAACCCGCCAGTATTGCTCGTGCCACGCACAAGTGTTACCTTCTTAGCCTGGCCGCGATAGGGATATAGTGCTCGGCGGTACAGAGACGAGCCCACGGCGGCAAAGAAAACGTGTTTGCAGTTCGGGTCGGCCATGTAAAACTTGAAGTTTTCTACACCAGGCATGTCAGCACCAGATATCTCATGCAGGAAAAGAACTTTACCACTAATCTTTGTCGGTACATGACCCTCGTCGCCTGTGTCCACAAAGTCGAAGAAGGAAGAGACCTTGGAGAATTCGCCGAAGTGGAACCCAAGGGATCTAGGCTCCGGAGAAGTGAGCTTAGCTGCGGCAGCGCGGGTCGAGAGAGTCTTCAGGCAGGCGAAAATCTTGATGAAGATATGGTACCCGCTTCGTGCGACTGCGGGAAGTATGGCTGCAACCCTCTCACCCACGACATCACGAAGACGCTTCGCTGTCTCAGCTCCTCCTGACATCTTATTGCGGTATAGTTCATCAAGAAACTGCTGAAATGTCAGATCGTGATCATAACCAGCGATTTGTCACATACCTGGTGGCTTGTACCATCGATGAGAACCAGCACAATGGCATGACCGCCTGGGGCTCCAGCAGTGCTGACTGTACTCGCTTCTTCTACGCCCTCTAACGCAGTTTGAGTTGAGACAGACGCTGTAGTCACACTCTTTGCGGCGGCAAGAATGCGCTCGCTCGCTTCAATACACTTCTCCATGTATGCGCCGTGATCCGCCGTTGCAGTCTAGTAAAAGATTAGTTGTCAAATACCAAAAAGAGATGGAAAGTGGAAGACAATACCGCCAAAGACTTCTGCAGGGCTCGGCCCTCCGCGAGCAGGCCCTGAAGTTCAGCTTCCTGCTTTGGCGTGTCCATGCGCGCTGCTATTGCCGATTATCGAAAGGCGCAACGCGGTGTCAGAAGGTATTGAACAAGGTAGCTGACGAATAAAATTTGCGCGACCCTAGAGAAGGAAGAAGAAACCAGGCAGAAGCGGAATATTGAGACTAGGATATGATTTTCCCGAAACGGAATGAGCGCTAAAGAGCAAACGCTCAAAGTTCACCTTCACCTCAAGTAGTCGACGTGTCAAGAACCAGAAGGGACGTACTCTACCACTTGATGAAAAAGAGAATGTGCTTTTGACTCAGACTGGGGCCTGACATTGGTTCAGACTGGTCATTTGAACTTGTACTTTGTCATCGCGGCTCTTTCTCCTACACTCCTCTATGCGACCACATCATTAGCCTCCATCTCCCTCCGCTGCTCCTCTTTCTTCCCCAGCTTACCCGAGCTCTTGTGGATACCCTCAATCACCTGCTTGATCTCCTGCAAGAAGCGATCTACCTCCTTCTCCGTACCCACCGTTATCCTCAAGCAGCCCAGACATCCGTGCTCCTTGCCTCTGAACCGCACTACCACACCCTTCTCTTCCGCCAAGCCCTCATACACCGCGAGCGCCGTCTCGTTCGATGGCTTGCCACCTTGATCCGCCGGTGCATCGAGTATCTGGTAGAGCAAGAAGTTCGATTCTACGCCACCGTGGAGCTTTCCAATGCCAGGAATCTTGGGCAGCTCCTCGATCAGCCTGTCGCGCTGCTTGACGATGAGGTCCTTGTGGCTTTGCATGACTTGCAGGTGCTTCGGGCTGAGGGCGGCGCGCGCAATCTGGCTTGTTGGGTTGGGAATGTTGTAGGGTGCCTTCATGTTGTTGAGGATTTGGGCGATCGCTGGGTCTGCGAAGGCAGCGCCTAATCGAATGCCTGCGAGGCCGAACGCTTTCGAGAGTGTTTGCATGACCACCAGATTGGGCCACTCGGCTACCCATTCTGCTAGACTTGTTCCATCGGGCGCGAAGTCGATGTATGCCTCGTCCACGACTACAACACCGTTCCATGGGTGTTCTAGTATCTTTTGTACGTCCTCCTTCTTGAGCAGCTTTCCGGTCGGGTTGCCTGGCGAACACAGGTACGCCAACTTTATGCTCTTGTCCTCATCCATGGCCTTCAGTATCGCGGGAACGTCGAGATCGAAGCTTGGTGTTTGTAGGGGAATCTTGGCCAGCGCGACGTCGTTGACTTGCGCAGAAACGCTGTACATGCCGTATGTGGGTGGACATGTCAGAATCTTCTCCTTGCCGGGGACGCAGAAGGCGCGGATCAGGGCATCGATCGCTTCGTCGGAGCCGACACCAACGAAGAGGTTGGCGGGTGCTATGTTCTTGGAGGTATGGGTGTGGGTATTTCGGAGGTTGCAGAGGAGTTGCTTGAGTTCTTCTTGGTGGCTGCATGAGGTCATCAGCGTGTGCGATGCAAGCGGTCGCGGTGTACATACGGATCTGGGTATCGGTTCAGGCCAAGCAAATCGACATCAATCGCGGAAGATGAGTCTGAGGTGCCATTGACATTCGCGCCAGGCAGCTTGCCCTCGCCATTCAATTGTAGTCCCGGCCCGTATGCATTCTCGTTCGCGTCGAGGAGGATGTTGGTGCCGTCATCTTTGTAGTCGCTACGCGTCGTGAGCTGGGCACGGCGGTAAGAGTCATGGATATTCACCTACTCGCGCGCGCATCGGTACGGCTCCAATGCGAGAATGTTGGATCGCGCGCATTTCTGCAGATCGAATGCCGTGTTCTTTGCGACCATTGTGTATATGGTGGGCGGGTGGAAGAAGCTGGGAGTTGAAGTGGAGGACCGCTATGTCCAGTCGAAGTTGGTGTTCGCGGGGAACTTTTTGTTTCGCGGGCCGGGACGCGGCGATGTCGGGAGTCATCACATCATCGGAGAACTATTTTGATTGATCGAGCTTCGATACCAATTCATCGGAGCTAGTTCTCGGCGCAGGTAAATATGTCCATTTTCGGGTGAACTATTAACGTTTGGTGGGCGAGTATGCAGTCAAAGCTGTTGGTCGAATGATATATTACGTGAACTGTGGTACAAACTCTCAAGCCAGGAGGTCTTCACAAGCTGTTCATATTACGATCAGAATACAATAGAGATGACTGGTGTACTTCAGTAGGGTACCAAATATCCTGCGTAATCCGAAAATGTCTTGAGGACCTCCTCAGCCATGCGTCAACAGTGGCTTCGCAAACCACATACAACGTAGTACGCACCTAGGTCGTCCAATAGAATATATTACAAGTGCTGATAGTCTAGCCTCGGGTCTTTGTGGGTCTGTAATACATAGGCTTGATGCGAGTTAGTCAATCTTGGTCGAACTTTTCCCTGCCCGATTTCCTGACTCGCATCTTTTCGATCTTCTTCCCCAATCACGCCAGCTGTCAAAAACTCTCATTATATTGTTTCTATCCGCAGTCTCTTCCATCAATTTCCGATATGGTCTAGTGGCTAGGATTTGCCGCTCTCATCGCAGAGCAAGCTCGCAGCCTCACAGCAGCGCAGTGCCGGCAAGGCCCGGGTTCGATTCCCGGTGTCGGAAACAGTTTCTTTTTGCTGTTCTACAAGTTCTGAACAATCTAGAAACATACTAGATGTGTCTGGTTTGAATTAAATCATTTTTGCCAACTCAACGCACCCAGAACACCACCCCCACCAACTCAAACATACCTAAGATTCACCTAGACGTCCAGAGCGCCCTCTTCTTACCCCCAGCAAAGATTGGTATATTGGGGAATAATGGTGGTCGATTACTGTTGGGTTAAAGAAGCGAAAGTGCGGTCTGACAATGCAGCATCCTCTTGGTTCTCATCTTGGCCCCATTTTGACAGGCAGGCACATTATCTGAACGGTAAAATATCGCGTCTGCGATCCGCCAATTCCCTTTCGTCCAACACCTAGATGTAGTCACGAAAGCTTGCTCGCGCTTATTTCCAATATCCCGAAATGCCCAGCGAATTGCTGCGTCCCCTCCTCTCCACACCCAGGTATGCGTTATTGATCCCGTTCCCTCTGCGTACTATCCAATTCCACGGGCGGCCCCGGAATAATCCTCACGCTTGTTGAACCAGCTTCTACCGGCTGTGAAGTTCCGTCCGTCTCAGCTCTCCACTTCCCACCCATAAAGCGCTTCAGCCCTCTTGAGCTTCCTTCCATCTCCGGCACGTCTGGGTGCTGTCGATTTTGTCGTTGCTTTCGTCTTCGCCAAAGGTACAGGAGGACAACGATGCTGGATATGACGAATGCACCAATTCCGATGGCTATGCCGGCAATGGCTCCGGGGCTCATCATGGTGCTTTTGCGGTTAGAGTTGGTGCGCGGAGGTGCGGAGGTTGAATTTGTATCGTTCGACGAAGCCGAAGTTGTATCTCCGAGAGGGACTTTCAACACTGATGCGAGTGACAATGCATAATCACGGGGAAAAGCACCCATATCTTCAGAATTCCAGATAACTGTCAACGGGGCTGCTTGCGCTATACCGGACAGAAGTACAGTAGGCGCTTGCCTTAAGGTAGTGTTAATTCCAGTCGTCTCGGAAAGCTCATTAACATAACAGACTGATGTTACTAAATCAAGGGCGGAGATCGTAAGGTTTCCTTCACAGAGGTCGGTTAATGTAGTTGTGAAGGATGTGAGAGCCGTCATTGGGCTGGTGAAACGTTTTTCGCAGCTGGTGGACAGGACTCCAATAGTCATACCACTAGGTCAACGTAAGCCTGGGTAAGACTGCCTTGTACTCAAATGGGGTTGTTACCTATCACAACAGCGACCTATCCATTTCACAGAGTTCTGGTAATGCACCTCAAATATTCCACCCATAGTTTGACCAGCCGTGCACATTCCGGGGCTGTATGTTGGTTCTGCGTTGCCATACGGACGGCATTCGCGATCTTCCAGCCGATCTTCATTGTAAATATTCCATGTGTTGAAGATGACGACTGGATCAGAACTCAACTGGGTCCACCGAGTCGAGCAACCAGATGGTGGAGAAAACCAGCTCGTCAATAAGGGAATGTTCCCAGGACTGTAACCTCTCCATTGATCGAGATTCGTGGCGGTGCTTGTCACGATCAGATTCATAATTGCCGTCGTGAATCAAGCCATCGCAGAAACGTGAATGCAGAGACAATATATTAGAGCAACAGAAGAACGGGTCGGAAGACTGACTAGTAACAGAATGCTTATAGTAAACGACATGCTCTATGGCGGGCACCGAACATCCCCCAAGCTTACCGGCTAAAGTCCGTCACATGTTATTCAACAAATTGTGACGCAGTATCGGATCCAATCCGTCGGGACCGCTAAGACATCTACAGTGAAAAGAAACGCAAAACATTGAGATCGGTGTCCAAGAGGCAAAAGTGATGCAGTAGAAGCTCCGTTCCAGCCTTGTCATTCGTGCTGTGTTGTAGTGCTGACACCCAGTTAGTCCTTCGAGGAGATAAGACGGATGTAAGCCAACGCCCGACCGTAAGGATTATCTCATAATCCTTATTTGTTGCCACCGAATTAGCTGTTATGATAGACGTTGACAGGATTGCGGAGTTCATAGATATTGGAAAGCGGTGAAGGCTCGTCAAAATAGCAGGTTAGCAGCATACATGCTCACAGAATCGGTGCAAAGTGAAGATGATAACTTGTATTGAAGTCGGCATCGACTTCGTAATCCACACAGATCATCCATCTCACGCATGTCGCCTTCAACCCACATCTAGTTGGGGGCTCCGGTACCACGCGGCCTGTGGGCCACAGCGCGATGCCTTTGCGGCTCTTCCCTGTACCTATCAATTGTTAGCATAATCTCGCAATCCTACTTCTCGATGCTGACTTACTTCTTAACAATCCTCTCAATAGAATCCAATCCCTTCTCCAAAACATCCATCCGAGGTCCGTAGCTCAACCTAACAAAGTGATGACACGGCGAATCGAACAGATCCCTACGACGGCTAGGGTTCAAGTCGAAGAAAATACCGGGAACAACAATGACCTTCTCCTCAAGACAGGCCTGGAAGAAGTTCAAACCGTCGTTGATACCTTCAGGTAGGTTCGACAGATCGAGCCACAGGTAGAAGGTCGAGTTGGGCATGTACGGGAACTTGAAGCCGATTTCCTGGAGACGGCCAATGACGAAGTCGCGCTTGGTGCGGAAGTGCATTTGCAGAGCGCGCATCTCGTTGCGGACACGGGGTGGTGAGAGCATCTCTACGGCGGCTTCTTGGAAGGGCACGTTGCAGCCTCCATCGAGGTAGGAACCGCAGGAGCCGATGGCCTGGATGAACTCTTTGGGGCCGATAACCCATGCTACTCGCCAGCCAGGGAGACGGAAGCGCTTGGTGAGTCCGTCGATGATGAGAACATCGTCCTCGTCTACGTCTTCGACGTTGTCGGCAGCTGAGATGACGGTGCCGTCGCAGTTGGTGGTGTAGTTGTATCCGCAGTAGAATTCGTCCATGATCAGGGTTGCGCGGTCTCGGCAGATGTTCTGGATTTGTGCAAGTTCGGGGTTGGTGACCTAGTTTGAAGTCAGTGTATGCCTCATACAATAGAAATTATGTTCTAACCATTTGGCCAGTTGGGTTCCTCGGGTTTGATGTAAGGATGACAGAAGTACCGCGAGCGATTTCCTCAGCGATCTTGTCGGGAGACATGTGGTATTGGTCGGCCTCGCCCAGGGGAACGGGGATAGCAGCGATGTTTCGGAAGAGCGACAACATCTCGTTATACGCAGTGTAGTCTGTTCTCGTCAGCTGCAGCCAATATCCTACAATTCTCATCTAAACATACCAGGAATGAAGAAGCCCAAGTAGCAGTTACCCAACACAGCAGCGATACGGATCAAACCCGCACGTCCACCAGGCACAATACACACGTTTTCCCATGTGTACTGGCTCTTGCGCCACTTGCGGTGGTGCTCGTTGTATAGTGTCGCGACCGCTTCTCTCAGCGGCCTGATACCGGCAGTTGGGCCGTACTCTCTGCCATGAGCGCTGATATCGACCTCCTTCGGCCTCTCAAAGCAGCCTTTGATGCTGTCGTCGACTTCAGGCGCACCCTGACCTAGGTTTGCCCATTCCTCCGGGTGTTCGAGGAAACCGTGCTTGTAGGCTTGTTCGGATGTCCAGACGACACCTGTGGAGGCGCGCGTGGCGTCGAGACCGGCGTGTGGCTTGTGGCCTTCGTGCGACTGGCGGAATTGGCGATGGATAGAGGATCCGAGCTCTACGATATGTTAGCACTTTTGACCTTCAATACATCCTCCCAGTTTGTAAAGACCTGATTCGTGTCTGGTATGCGACATGGCTGCGAGAAACGGCACGGGGGGACAATGCGCGATAAGAAAAGCGGCTAAAAGGACTCAAGCAACTCCAACGAGACTCTCCAAGAAAGCGCAAAAGTTGGAGGAGGTCCGATAAGAACCTCTAGCGGTCAAGATCGGAACATCGAGAACCGAAAAGCTCCCAAAAGCCCATCTTAAGCAGCGCGCCCCCAATTTTCTCAGATCCACTTCCATTGGGTTGTACACCTCAGGAATGACGTAGTCACAGCAATCGGGAAGAACAAACGGGTATGTACGTACCACTCTCGCTAGGATCTTTGGAACTCGAGAAGCGCCTCTGCGAGAACGCGCCCTTGAGATGACTGACTTTGTCTGCCGAGAAAGACATCGTGTGTGTAGAGTTTGGTGGTTGCGCGAAATCAAGCTTTGCCTAGCTTTCGATGATGGAGGGGTGGGTGCGCAGATCTGCGTAGTGGGGTGTGGAAGGAAGAGGGCAAGTGGTATCAACAGAACAAAACAGAGCGAGCTTTGGAGAACGAGGGGCTCAAGAAGATCGATCGAGGGGAGGTTCAAGGGCCAGATAATATGTGTATGTAGGGTAGGTAAGGCGCATCGGCCCTTTATAACTCGCCGTACGAAGTAAACACGCGTGTCGTGGTGCCCTCTCGCACGCCAGGTAGGGCATCCACCCACAAACGCATGCATGCACGCATCCACAACTGCACATATGCGAGCTGCGTTGGTAGCTAGCCCAATCCCGTATGTAACATTCCTTCTTCCGCGTCTTGCTTCAGCCACCGGGGATAACACAGACATGCCTTGCGACGTTGCTCAGACAATCCCAATCCCTAATCAATTGCCTCACGGAGATGATGGAGGCTTACGTCTCGGATCGGCGCGTGCCTTTAGCCTCTAGATCAGAAAGGCCCTCATCCTGGGTTCACTTGTTCTTCACCGCTTGACGGTATACGTAGCGTACGGTAGTTAGTGCTGCCGACCGCGTCGAGGCCGATGTAAGAACTTAGTCCATGCCACATGGGACGGATATGCAGGTCGGCATTGGCGTGGAGAAGACGCCAGCCAGCCAGCCATGCAGTAACATCCCTCCAAATGTGTGGCCAAACAACCCCCTGTCAGCTTACGCCTCAGCACCGCCAGATGTCACAGCTGCAGCTCCAAATGTCATCACCGATATGAGGCTTGTAACACTGGTCGCTGATCCGCAGTTCCGTGGCGCCCAAAGGGAATAATGCCTCACCCAGCCACAGTTGCAGCCCTACGATCGTGGGCCCACTCATGTTTCCTGTCCGCGGTCCTGGCAGTCGGTTCATTGTCGACCCGAACATTTCCGATATATCTTCGTCTGAGAAACCACGCAAAAAAGACTTGAGACGAGTTTCAGCTTACGAACAACACAAGTGACACGGAGTAAAAATATCCATTCCTATATACAGACATGCACAATTACTCTCATCATATTCCTACAGCAGCACCCCAAACTAGAAAAACAAAAGGAAAGACATTGCACAAAACAAACAGCAAACTACTCTACAGGCTCATCCTCAAGCAACTGCTTAAAGCTAAACGGTTCAAACGCCACACCATCACCGATGAAATGCTTGCTCATAGCCTCGACCCAGTGCAGACGCAGCGAATGCAACATGGCACTGGTACCCTCCATGACACACAGCACAGCAACCGTGAGTGCGAACCAGAAGTAAAAGACAAAGACCATGATGAAGGCGCCGCCGACACCGGTGAAGGCGAATGCGTTCTTCATGGTCATTTCCCAGAGGACGATGGAGAGACGTTGATGGGCGAGCGAGAGGGCCCAGAGACGGAGGTACGAGGCTGTGTGGGAGACGCAGTTGAGGCAGAATTCTGGAAGAAGGGTGTTAGTAGACGTTGCAACAGGTGCAGAAGGGCAACTTACCGATGGTGTGAATGACTTGGTGGATCATGACTTCACTGAATTCAAACTCCTCATGGTCTTCGCCGTGGCCAATGTCCTGGGTGATCATAGCAATGCCGTCATCGTCGTCTCCGTAGCTATCACGTCCGTTGGCATGACCGTTCTCATCGTCGTCGTCCAGCGCGCTGACTCGCGAGTTCTCGCCGATGCCGCGGTAGCCCATGGCGCGAGCCTTGTTGTGCTCGTATCGAAGGTAGAACGGCTTGAGGAAGAGCAGGACGGGAACGCAAGCAAGCGCCAACAAGAGGAGAACCACTTGAATGCCTGCTTGATGAGGGTAGAGCGGCTGGGTGCCAGCCTCGAGATTACCGGGGCTCAAGAACATGTAGATCAACATGTTGAGCAGACTGGGCGGGCTCTCGCCACGCGCAGGCCAGTCAATGCACCATTTGTACACAATGGTAAAGGCGAGGTAACCGAAGATGGACTGGAAGAAGATCATACCGGGGACGAAGTTACCCCAGATGTCAATCTTGGTCTTGAAGTAGCGAGCGTTGACGAGCGACCACATCAGGGAGAAGGTCATGTGGGTCCAACCGAGCAAGATACTGAGCTTCATCTTGTAACTGTTGGAGAACAGCAGATCATTCTCGGTGTCGTGCCAGCGGTAGTCCAGACCGAAGGGGTAGGTGTAACCTTCCACACGGCTCGAGGTTGGGCCCTTGCCGTCGTTGTCCCACACCCACATAGACTTGAACCAGGGCAGTCCGAGAGAGAAAGCGTCGCAGTAGAGAAGACCGGTGTAGATGGAGAAGAGACCCATCATGAAGACAATGTAACGACCGTAGAACATCATGGAGAACAACTCATCGAGCTTGCTGCGCTCAAGCCGCTTCTCGAAGTAAATCATGGCGCAAGCTGCGAGAAGCATAATGACACCGTGTCCGGCATCACCGAACATGACAGCGAACATAAAGGGGAACGTAACAATGGCTGGCAGCGCAGGGTTGACCTCGCGGTACTTGATCGTTCCGTAGGCATCGATGATGGTCTGGAAACCCACCGTGAACCTGTTCGACTTGAAGTATGTCGGTGGCGTCTTGGTGGTCTTGATCTGGTTGACAATGGTGGGTACTGACAGGCCAGCACGCTCGTTGACATCTGACAGGGTCGACTTGATCAGACCGAGGGAGTTGGTGGGGGCCCATGCCTCAGCAATGAGCGTCTTGCGCTGGTGGTCGTAGGAAAATTTGTTCAGCGTCTCATAGGTAGCCTTCTCTTTCTTGATGACGACCATCCAAGCTGCGAGGTTGCGTCCTATCGCGGTCAACTCGGCATCGAGGGTGGACTTGGTATTCTTCAGGACGCTAGCCAGGTCACTCAGGCGGGTGTTGACTTCGCGAATCTGGTCGCGGCGGAGTTCGCTGTTCTCGTCCACGCTGTAGAGGTCGGCGCCGAGCGACTCTGAGATCTTGCGGATCTTTGCGATGATCTCCTTGCCGTGCGCGAAGATGATGAAGACGTTCTTGTTGGTTTCCTCGTTGTTCTCCGGGTTGATGATGGCCTCGGGGATCTCCGACTGGTTCATGTACAAGTTACCGCGGAGAGTACGCCACAGGATGCGCTCGAACGCGGCAATGCGTTCGCGGGGAATGACACCAGCGACGAAACCGATGTTCATGACGGTGAAAGAGCGCTCGGCACCCGTGTCACCCTGTCCGTTCTGCTCAACATCCTGGAGCAGCGGCGCGTCGTCATCATCAACAGAGTCCCTAATCTGCTCAGTCTGGCCACGGGCCCGGTCGAAGAAGCCGCCAGCCTCTCTCAACACCCATCGCCACTCTGTGAGCTCCACCTCGCGCTTCTTCAGTGTCTCGTAGCTCTCGTTCAACGAAGAGATTCTCTGCTCCAAGCTCTGGCTCTTGTCCGCGAGCTCGTCGATCTCGGAGGCGGAAGGCGCAGTGAAGGGGTTGTTGAAGTCATAGATGGAGCGCATCGAGATATCCGACTTCTCCATCTGGGCGCGAAAGTAGCGGAGCTGGCGTTCCACGTTATCGAGGCGGCGAATCTCCTGGGTGAAAGTACGTTGGAAGGCGGTCGTATCGGCGTTGAGCTAGCACATCTTGTCAGCTTCCCATGCCATCACATCCGTCCCAGAGCTCCCAGCGAAGCTCTAGAACATGTCTGCCTGTGCTCACATCTCTAAAGTCCATGACACCAAGCTCTCCGAGGCCTGAGACGACCTCGCGGCCAATCTCGTTGGCAATGTACAGCTGGGTCAAGGACATGTCCGCGGAGCGGAACATGGTGTCCTTGTTGGGCGCCATGATGGCGGATCGGGAGACAAGACTTCGGGGGAGGTGTGCTTGTCCCTGAATTCGATGGGGGCGGGTTATGCGAGATGGAGGTTGATGGAGCGAGAGCTGCCTCGAACGCCTGCGCGATGATGATGCGGCGAACCCAGTGCCAGCTCCTAGCGTCTTGACGCGCCAAGCCCCGCTACTGCATCCATGCCAACCACACCCATTCACCATCTAAAAGCAATTCACAAGCAATACAAGCAATGGTCTGATGTTGTTCGCCGTCGCGAGATCGTGGTGGTGAAACCAATATTTATTTATCTAAGTAGTTGACGAGCAACAAAGCCTTGCTCAGGCATTCGCCTACTTGACGTCCCTCCAACCCCGATACATTGCTGCTTGCCATAATGCAAGAAGCCAGGAGAAGACCGGAATATCAAATGACGAGGAATCAAAGTTTAGCTTTATTAGGACAGAGTAGAAATATCCAGACTAAGAAAGATACAGCCACCGAACGCAGGACGCAGAACACCATGCAAACGTGAGCAGATCATCTCTTGTGTAAAAGAGCCACATCGTAAGCAGCTGAGAAAAGACCGATACCCGCCAGTACATTTGATAATATGAATGTTTTTGTGTCGCTTGCTGTCGTGACCGAGGGAAAGAACCAAGTTACGCTGTCGAATGTGCTTCGCCTAGAACACCAAATATCCCAATCAAAAGCCAGATGCGCCATGCTCGACTGCAAGGAAGGAACTGTATAGTTGGACGTAACATGTCGAAATGCAAAACCGATAATCAGAGCGATTGTGAGATGGGACATGGGTGGCAAGGATCTAGTCGTCTATTGTTGCGGGTAGAATGTCGCGGGCTGCATTTGCTGTGGGTAGTAGTAGGCGCCGTCCGGACCAGGTGTCATCATGCCTCCCATCCCAGGAACGGCGTAGCTAGGCTGAGCATAGTTCTCTACGGGCGGCGCGGGGTAAAGCTGGGCGGAATCCACGTAGTATGTCATGCCGTTTTGCTCGTAAGCCACCATGTTGGGAGGGCCAGCAGGTGCTGGTGGAGCCGCAGGAGGAGGAGGAGGAGGAGCAGACACCGGCATGACATAGCCGGGCTGTTGAGCACCAGGAACGAACATTGGCACCATGCCGGCAGGAGCCATGTATTGGGGCTGTGCGCCGTTTTGGGGATAGTAGTATCCCTGTGGCACAAAGGCTTGTGGCTGGAAGCCAGGCTGCGCGTAAGGCTGGAATGCGGGAGCGTGGATGGCTCGTTCGGGGATGTTGGGTGTGCCGGTTGACACTTGGCTTGGGTACGAAGGGTGACGTCCATGCTGATAGTATGGCTGCTCGACCGCAGGGGCAGCTCCATTGATATGCGCGGGAACTTGCTGATGGAAGGGTTGCTGCTCTTGTTGTTGCGGGGGGTTGAAGCTCATAGATGCAGGCGATTCGATACCAGCAACAGAGACAGTCTTCTGCGGGCGGGGCTGGTGCATCGGAAGTGAACCTTGCCAGTTCTCCCGGTAGGTAGGCTTCTGTGGAAGAGGGTAAGGTGGCTGCACAGCGCCGTTTGTGGGCGAGATCATGGATGGGCCATTGGGCATCCGAGGGCCACCAGGCGGGAGGCGCACGACAGGACGACTGGGATCAACGAAGCCACCGTTACGTGACATGATGGAACCAGCCGGAGAGACGAGATTGTCCCGACCCATCTCGCGTGCAATAGACGACCGCCTGCTCATGGCTACACTTGGCGAGTATACACTGCCTCCGTACGCGCTTGTCCGTCTGCTTGAGAAGCCTCCGCCAAAGGATCCAAATCGACCGCGGCCCCGGCCGAAGCCCTGCTGGTTGGGGCGGAGGGCCCGTGGGATGAAGATGAAGGAGCGCTCTGTTGTGGGGAAGATGTAGCGCGGTGGAGCCGGGGGTAGTGATATGCGGACTGGCTTGTCGCGGCGGAGGGGTGGCCGGTGGTTGGGCAGACGAGTGTGCGACTTTATGGGGACGTTCTGGAAGTGTATAGGGCCCTTCATGTTCGGCAGGAAGACGCGTACCATGGCATTGTGCGTGTGCGTCGTGGTGGAGAAGTTGCGAGCTGGCGGTGGCTTTTGGCTAGGGCCTGGCGGCACTCTCGATGCGAACATGGGGCCATTGGAAGGATGGTGTCCGGCGTGAGCGTGAGAGCCGGGCGCGTTGACGGTCTCGTGCAGGTCGTGCTGCCAGGGGGAATCCGTGGCTTCCTGTGGCTGTGGCCGCATGCTAGAGGACGTGTTATTTGGATGTCTACATGCTTTCCGCGTCTGTACATACTTGGCAGGGGAAAAGGGCCCGCCGATGGGAGCACCCCGCCCACGTCCACGGCCTGCGGGCCTGAAGCCATTCTGACCAGGAGCATGCCGTGAGTCGTGCATGAAGAAGGCGCCGCGGTTGGGGATGAAGGCGGGATCCGAGTCGCGCTTCTTCTTGTACTCCTCATGCTCCCGCCGCCGCCGCTCCGCCAGCGTCTCTGCCCGCGATTGCGGCGCACCAACGGCAGGTGCGGCTTCCACTGCTGCCACGCCCGTCTCGAAGTCGACCACTTCCGCCTCCTTTCCGTCCTCGCCAACCTTCAGGCCATTCATCATGATCTCCGTCTCCTTCATGGTGGAAAAGGCCACATCGGAGCGGGCGATGGGCGGCGAGGGTTGGCGATTGCTTGCATCCTGCCGGGCCTTTGCATCACGCGCCCCGTTTGCTTTCCGCTTCGGCTTTCCTTGTGTGAGAGAGGGCGCGCTGTCGACTTCGCTCAGGTCGCTGTTGTCGGCGTCGGCGTCCTCGTCGACATCGCTCAGCAGGGAAGCGTCGCTCTGCGAGTCGTCGGCAAGGGTTGCCACCGACTGGCTCTCATCCTCGTCATCCGTCCGCCTGCGACGCGCGATGTTGGTGGTCCTCTTGCGGGCGGGAGCCATGATTGCGGGGTCTGGGTAGTGGCGGACGATGGAGGCGCGATGTGGTGGGCGTGGGGTGGTCGTGGATCGGCTCGTGTACGGCGGAGCGATGACTCGGCAGCGGAGTAGGTCCGGGAAGAAGAGGCCAGCGACGTGGAGAGCGCCGAGGGTGCGGGTCGAGAGAGTGCAGCGAGTGCAGCGATTGCGGTGGTGATGGGCGAGGGCGAGTGTTGGACGGAGGGCTGGATTCGGATCGGCCAAGGTTGGATGATGTCTGATGCCTGTGAAAAGATATGACGGAGCTTGCCGTTGCGGGAAAGCCTGGTCAGCGCGGAACCGGTTGATGCGCGCTACTCCACAACAACACGTCTCGGAACCAGAACAAAGCCGATGATCAGGCACAAATTGGTGCGGAAAAGACAATAATGAGAAGGGGGGCGCCGAGTGCTTCAGTCGTTTACCACGTGATTGCTTTTCTCAAACATGCAGCCTTGAAACTGTTTGGGCCATAGCTGCAGGTTCCAGGCTGCGAGCGAACGCTATCGACTCCACTGCAGCTGAACATTTAGTCTACTCCCCAAGGGCGCGTCATCACTCTAGGTAGCATTGCGAAATCAAGTAACAGATCAATAAAATGCAAGTATGTGTGAATAGAATTAGGATGCTATCCATCTGCACAATTACTATCATCCGACACATACCACTCCTAGCCCATCCATGTCTCCGTAGAGATGCGTCCCACCCATATCCATAACTATCCCTATTTGCGCCCTTCAAATGCTGCGCTACTAACAAACGCCTGTGAATGCTCCGGCCTGCGCGCGTGGGCAGGCCAACCGCCCGGGGTATGCATGCATATGCTCGAATGACAACTAGGAAAACATGAAGAAGAAAGAAAAGCGCTTGTTATACAGATCCACCATATTCCTCCAAGAGACACCGCAGCTTTTGCAACGACATCATTGCCCGATCATCTTGGGGTCGTGAATGTAGGTGCAGTTTTCGCCTTTGTTGCAGAGACCCTTGGCAAAGAACTTGCATGCCAGGACCTTGTGAGGCTTGTGATCTCCCCGGTTCTTGGGCCGCTTTCCCTGGTTGCGATCGTTGTTGCCGTTGCCATTGCCCTCATCGCGTTGCCGCTTGGTGCCACCGTTCGACTGCTGGTTGTACTGCGGCTGCATCTGGGGTTGGTAGGTGGACGCATCCTGCATCTGTGGTGTCCATGCTGCAGCTTCAGGCTGCTGAGGCTGGGGTGGGAAAGCGAATGGGAATGGAGGGAAGCCAGTTGGGAGAGGTGGTGGTGGAGGAAGAGCGCCGCCTGTTGCTGCCTGCATGTTGGCAATGAGTGCAGCAATATCCAGGGGCATGCCTGGCTGCTGTGGCGGTGGCTGCATCGGGAAAGACACAGGTGGGGGCTGAGGAGGGGCTTGGCCATTGCTGATGGAGTTGAGTATGGTCTGAAGGCCGGCGGGGTCGAATGGAGCGGCTGTTGACGGGGGAGGTGGGGTGTAAGCCTGTTCGACAGGAGCCGGAGTAGCGGCAGGCGGTTGACTGGTTCCGGAAAGCTGTTTGATTATGTTCTCCAATTGACTAAAGTCGGGTACACCTGCAGACATTGGCGCTTGTGGGCACCTGTTCTTTACTATATCGGGCGGAGTACCGAAACTGACCACGGTGCCAGTCGATGTGTTGTCTTGCCCTTGTTCCACCGGCTCTTGGGGTGACGGTGGGATGTCGTCAGGACTTGAGTAGTAGACCATCAATGTACCGTTCTCGCGCTGTACGTTGGCCTCCTTTTCAGGGCACGACGGCTCCTTCTCTCCGCCACCATAAGGCGCGTAATTGCGCTGGCGCTCGTCTTGAGGCACCACGCTGAAGTCGACTTGGGACGGCGGGGGCCATGATCGGCTGTCGAAATCCATCTCCTCATCATCGTCGTCGAGATCAAGCTCCTTGTGCTGCTTGAACATGTGTCCTTCTCCACCGAGGTCACCGGCATCCCGAACAAGATTGTCGCCCTTGCTGTCCATCTCTTCGTCATCCGCCTCGTGATCAAAGTACTTGACCTCCACAAGCGATGTCTCAGGCCTCCAAGTAACGCGAAGATGTCTTCGAGCTTCCTTCCGCAGACGCTTCGCCTTCTCTTCCTGTGTTTCCGCTGGAACTGGCTTCTCGGATTTGACTGGCGCAGCTTCCGGCTCCTTTGACTTCTGGAGTGAGGCCATCGTTTGAGCAAACGAAAATGCGGGCTTCGATGTTGTCGTTGCCGCTGGCTTCTTGTCTTTCGGCGCGGGGACAGCAGCCTTAGGCGCAGCAGCCTTCGCGGGTGCTGGTGCAGGCGCCGACTTCTTACTTGCCGCGTTGAGCGAGGCAAAGATGCCCGAGGGCTTATTGGTAACTTGACTAACACGGGTCTTGACGGGAGCGGGCGCCGGTGCCGCCCTCTCGCCAGGTCGCTTCTGTGCTGTTGTGTTGGAGCCAGTGGTTGCAGACCTCGAAGCCAAAGTGGACGCGAGATCCTTCTTGACAGCGTTCACAGGAGCGTCGGGTGCCTTTGGTTTCTTCGTCAAAGGGTTCTCGGTCGACGATCGGCTCGCGGCATCTGGTGCAGGTCGTTTGATGCCCTTGTTTTCTGTGGGCTCGCTTCGTGGCGGCGGGCTTGCCTTGGCCTTTTTGGAATTTGCGGAAGCACCATCTATGATTTGTTGTATGAAAGCTTTGTGCTTGTCATTTGCGTGTTTCTTCATCGAAACAAGTGCCTTTCCAAGTCTAGTCTCCTCAAGGAGCTCAGAATTCAAGGTACCACACCGCGAGAGTACTTCGTATATGACCGCGGACAAAGGCCCATCGTAGTCCTTAATTTTGAAACGGTTCGCCAGAAACTGATAGCACATATACAAGAAAGGCTTAATCAGTCCCAATTGATATAGCACATCGGGATGGGAGTGCTCAAGCGCAGCTTGAAGGGCAGACTTGAGCAGGTCACGCTGACTGGTTACCCGGCTTTTCAGCACGGGCAGCTCACCTAGCTTCTTCTGTTCCTCCGCTTCCGTCACAGCTTTGCTGTCGGCTCGCCACCGCTTATGGATTGTGTCGAGTACTTCCCATACCTCGCGCATGCTGTTTTTGATCTTGTCAGAACTAGGCGAAGACGAAGAAGGATGCCATGTAGCTTTGACAACATCATAACGAACAGCCGCATCAGGATCATCTGGTCTTGTCTCTGGGATGGGCATCTCCTCTTCTTCTGAAGAGTCACTATCGTAATCCGATGAGTCGGTAGTACTTTCACTATCGCTCGCCTGCCTCGTAGGCTTCTTTGTGGATTTGAAGGCTCTCGACTGAGACTTGGCAGCCGACAGACTTGCACGAAGCTTCTTGCTGTCTGCACCAGCCTTCTTCAGGTCTTTGAGCGATTGCCGAGGAACGTAGACGGGGAGCGCAGCTGTGCACATGTTAGAGGATGCTTTAAGCGCAATGTTTGTAGTATATTCAAGCTTACTTCTATTGGTTGCGAGATGAAAAGGTTCGTTGCCCAATGTCACAAACTTGTTCAAAGGAGTAGAATTGGTAGCTTTTGCTAGTGCAGCCTGGTCAAGAACGTAGAGACCCCCCGACTTCCTTCCCTTTGGCATGTCATACTCAGGCACGGGTACTGGCTTTACAAACGTAGCAGATGCACGCTGCTGAGCAAAGTTGTCTGCCAAAGTCTTCGGTGCCTTTAGAGAATTAGCATTTGATAGATGACAGGAGGCCATGGGGAAGCTTACTTGATAAGGAGATGCAGTAGGGCGGGCTTGTTGCAGCGAGGGCGTGTTGTGCTGCAGAGCTTGTGGTGTCACGGTACTTGCATGGCCCTGGGGAGTTTGAGTTCGCATGGGCATTGGATATGGCGACTGTTGCTGCTGTCGGATAGCATTGGGATCCATGCCCAGCGATGGGTCGACATTCGATTGCTGTCCGTAACCGCCCAAGGAGCTTTGCTGGCCAAACTGTCCATACTGATACGGCGACGCGGTGCGAAGACCATGTGATTGAGTGGTGTATGCTTGGCTGCTGCCGCTAAAGGGTTGTTGTGCGTAAGCCCCATGGTGCCAGCTCTGGGCTGAGGTATTGGGTGGCAGCGCCGAGTGTTGATGTAACTGGGCATCCCATGAAGGGGTGCCGTAGCGGTCGACACCAGGGAAGAGGTGCTGATATGACGGGTCGGTGTAGACGTTCTGGCCTTGCAGAGGCACCTGGTCACTCGGCACGTGATTAGCCGCCATGTTGTGGCTGGTGAAGAGGATTTTCTTGGCTGGCCAAAGTGTCAGCTGTCAGCTGCAACTGCAGGGGTGTGATTGGCGGATGACGCACAAGTGTCTGAAACCAGCGAACGGAATGAATTAGGCGACTATGCAGCAGCACTAGGCGCGATATGGACTGGCGCAGAGTCACAAGTGTGAAGGGTTGCCGATTCGGGGATGGGAGAAAAGGTCGATAAAACTTCCGGTTCGGGCGGTAGTGCTGTTGTGCTGTCTGAAGGCCGTCGCAGGTCGCAGGCCCTCGGATGTGGTGGGAGATGCAACAGACCTGGCTCACAAGGCAGTACTCGTGTCCCGACGCCCGCGATGCCGTGTCGCCCAGTCCACGATGCGTACAGTAGATACGGCTTTTATGGAGATGGCACTTTGCCTCGCGTATTATGCGATGAGATGAGGAGCCCACTGCTGGGCGCGTCACTTGACGTACGTTTGCGCGCACCAGAGCACAGCACGTGTTGTATGTCTGCGACAGCGACAGCGGCGAGCAGTTCTCTCCGGCCAGACTCCCTGATGCGCAGCGCGTCGAATCGAAGACGGAGCTGTATTAGTAGCAGAAATCGAAGATGATTGTCACTCTGCCCTCCACAACGCAAGCCTTCCTCACAAACGCCGCCGCCAGCCTGAGCGCGCACTTCCCCCAAAGCAAGGACCCGAAGGTTGAATCTAGCCTCAGAATCAGATGCCCTTATTAGGTGGGCGAGAGTTCACTGAGAAGTAGCATGAGTGTCAAGAGGGAAGAAGGGGACGATTTGTTGTCGTGGGCGAGGTGAGTTGAAGAGCGAGGGAGCGCAGCGAAGGGGCGAGCCCGTTTTCAAAGGTCGCCTGGCCGCCAAGTAGCGCGACGCGCTAGCCCCCAGTGGGGCGGCGGGCAAGCTCGAGCTGCATCACCAAAGGCCGGGACAGCAACCGTGGAAGGAGCGCGGGCAGGCAGACGCGCCACGGTATCTTCTTTGTGCACTCTGGTCTTCGCGTACGTCTCACGCTCTTTCATGTCCCCTCTGCGCATGCGCTTAATTTAACAAGAGGCGGGTGCCAGCACGGAAACAATGGCTCTCTCACTGCGGGATCGCCAGATTGGTATGCGATGCGACTTTCTTTGAGACGCTGGAATAGCACTGACAGCACGTGATAGCTGCAATCAAGCGCATACTGAAGTGAGTGCTGAAACCGCTTCACCGACGGCACCGCTAACCCAGAAAGCCTCAATGCCCCCATCCACGATGTGGACGCTCCCGAAGACGCCGCCAGCGCGACCGCAAATACCTCCGACATCGAATGGAAGGTCCTAGTCCTCGATACACAGGCAAGGAATGTGATATCGGCAGTTCTACGCATGAACGACCTGAGGGCAGCTGGGGTATGACCAATCCCGAGCACCCTATTCACGATGAAGTCTAAAGACCGTGGAGGCTACATCGACTCAAAAATGAGCAAACGTGAAGGCTCAGCGTCAATGTAGTCCCCACGGTCATCAGATTTTCCTATGGGGTGTTAGAATACGAACACATACTGAGAACACATAGGTCACTGTACACTTCAACCTGGCCTCCAAGCGCAGCCCCATACCCGACACGCCAGGCGTGTACCTGATCGCCCCCACCGCCGACAACCTCGCGCTAGTCACCAAGGACCTCAACGATAGCCTGTACACTCCGATATACCTCAACTTCCTCTCAAGCGTCCCCCGAACACTCCTGGAAGACTGGGGTAGTCAGATTGCTGCGTCGCCAGGAGCTGCAGAGAACATTGCCCAGCTATACGACCAGTATCTGAACTTTGTCACCCTGGACAGCGACCAGTTCTCCCTGAACATCGAAGATGCGTACCGAAAGATCAACAGCCCGAAGACGTCGGATCAGGAGCTGGACGAGCTGATCGACCGCATTGTCTCAGGCCTCTTCTCCGTCGTCGTCACCATGGCTGTCGTACCCATCATACGATGCCCAACTGGAGGCGCTGCTTCCGACATCGCCGCAAAGCTCGATCGAAAGCTGCGCGACCACATCCTCAACAGCAAGGAGAACCTCTTCTCCGCCAACACAGCGTCTCGCCCCGTCCTCATCATTGTCGACCGCAACATCGACCTCAACCCCATGTTCAGTCACTCCTGGATATACCAAAGTCTTGTCTACGACGTGCTAGACTTTTCTCTCAACAAAGTCACCGTTACTGTGCCAAATGACAAGGAGAAGCCAGAGAGTGGTTCCAAGAAGCAGACGTACGATTTGACTGCGAGTGACTACTTCTGGAAACGCAACGCGGCGCAGCCGTTCCCTCAAGTAGCGGAAGACGTCACAAACGAATGGACCAAGTACACAGCAGACGCGGAGAAGATCACGAAAACCACAGGTTCCAACTCTCTTGATGATGTAGAGACCCAGTTCGCAGCCCACCTCAAAGGGGCCATATCCATGCTCCCCGAGCTCCGTGATCGCAAAGCTACCATTGAGAGTCACATGAGTATGCTTGAATCTGTCATGGATGGCATCAAGCAGAGGAAGCTGGACGAATTCTTCCAGCTTGAAGAAGAGCTTGGAAAGGCCACCAAAGCGACCATAATGGAGATAATCAAAGCCGCAGATAAAGGAAACGACCCCTACGACAAGCTGCGCCTGTTCCTACAGTGGTATCTCACCACCTCTGACGACCTATCGCGCAACGAGCTCGACAGCTTCACACAAGCTCTGGAACAAGCTGGATGCGATACAACTGCCGTCGCATACGTCAAGACAGTCCGACAGATCACGCGCATGACAATGCTCAGCTCCGCGCCTGCACAACCTGCCCAGACGACGTCATCGAACCTTTTCGGCGGCTTCTCGAGTCTAGGGAGTCGCGTTACCGACAAGTTCAAGGAAGCCGGCCTCGGAACACCTAATCTGGAAGGTGTATTGGTAGGTTCATAGACCTTGATACGAGACAATGACTAATGTGGCATCCTCTAGTCCGGCATTAAGAGTTACTTGCCAGCCAACAAGGATCTTACCCTCACAAAGGTCGTGGAGGCCATTTCCGATCCACAAAGTGAGCGATTCTCCTGGGCATATCAGGAAATGTGCTAATACCTTTCTAGACGCAACTTCCAGTGCGCTCAACAAGATTGAATCGTGGCTTTACTTTGATCCCCGGTCAGCGAACGCGCGTGGAACCATACCGCCAGCCAGTCAATCACGCAATCAAGGCACTGTCTCACGTGGTATTGAAGCCTCTTTCGGACAAAGACGGCAAGGCTACACAGAAGCCCTCGTCTTCCCAGTGGGAGGCGGCAGTATGGACGAGGTGAGTAGTCAATTAGAAATGCACCCAAGACATGTTCTAACATCTCCATAGTTTGGCAACCTCCAGGCATGGTCGCAAAGAACCAGCGCTGCTGGCGCTGGTCAGCAAAGAAGAGTGGTGTATGGCTCCACCAACCTATACTCTGCACGTGACTTCATCGTTAACGAGCTTGCGCCTTTGGGTGCCGAGAGCACCTGAGCTGAAATGGGGCTCTGAAGTCTACGTTAGCTTTAGAATATGAATTCTGCAGAATACAATGGCCATGTAGCCATAATAAATATTTTCAAATCTTGATTCCGTGTCGTATTTGACAAGACTATTTTGAGGTTGAAGCATACATCAGCTCAAGGAGTATCCACTTATCAATATGCTGCAACATGCGAAACGACCTCTGGGTACCCTTGGATTCCTCCATCACATCATGCCCTTGACTACAAACAAACCCTCACTCGGCGTTCGGTCCAGCATGACAACCTCGGTCCATCATCGTGATGCGCTGAATATCACCACACGCCAAAAGGAACGACCTCAACTACAAAACGACCTGAAACATCGCTCTGCATGTTTCCAGCTACCCGGATTGCAAGATGCTGATGTTTGATCGTCCGGATAGTACTCACGAGAGCCACGCCAGCCACGCCAGCCCTATGGTCCTCCAAGCACACGAAGTCATATCTGCATAACGCCAACACGACCAATCGCATCCCAGCTTCACAACACCACCACCAATCGCATCTCAGCATCACAACATCCCAACCACCACCGCACCCATATTTCTTTTCTTTTTCTCGACTTTGTAATGTGACCTCATCTCACAATCATGCATAGAAGCCCTCTAAGCCTGCATAGAAGGATCTGAAACGCCCCTAGCGTATATCTCGCGTCGTGAATCTACTGAATCGCACACACACATCAACAAGCATACATGTCAAGGGCATGCATATCGTGGCTTACGCAGCCTTGCGTAGCCTGGTTGAAGGATTCGGTCCGTCAACCGAGTGCTGAGGCAGACGCTGGCAGATGGAGGAAAAAGTAAACATGGTGGGGTAGAGACGTTTCGAGATAACGGGTTTGGGGAAAAAGCAATGTGGGGGAAGGGTATAGATCGTGGCTAGGATTTGGGAGGGGTGCGTTTGATGGGCGGCGGGGGTGGCATGCAGAGGTTGCGAAGAGGGAAGTGGGTATGTGGGAATAGGGGTGCAGATGTGGTGACGAGGGTCGGAGGATCGTGGTGGGTGTTGAGTCGTGCTTGTGGTGTGGGTACACCTTTGCTGACGAGTACGTAGGTGAGCAGGGGTGAGATGCGAGCGACGCATGCATGATGCGACGCCTGGAAGAGCTTTTCTTGGTTGATGTGCAGCATGGAGGGATTGGCGTGGGACGAGCAGTAGCCGATCGTGAGCATGCATGTGGTGAAGGATATGTGAAGTCAACTCAACTACAGTGGGAGACATCGTGACAAAAGGTCGGAACATGCAGATAATCTGATAATATACAATACATTCATAGCGGCTCGATATACCGCAGCACATCAATCTAAGGGCTCACGCCCAAAAAGGTCTATCTATCACATCAATCTAAAGTGTCATGAAGCCATCCAATCCAATCCCATCCGTCTATCCAGTCTATCCGAGGTATAACCCAAAACCATGTGCCCAGTAAAACGCCGAAAAGAAAGAAAGAAA